CCTCACCCTGCCCCCCTGCTACCTCAGCCAGGCCCCAGATTAACCCGTGGTCGTGATAAAGCTATGGAACAGGGTTACCTCCGTCGGCCTGACCTGAAGAGCTCCCCTAGAGAGAATGCAGACTCAGAGTGGCTCATCCACGGAAGGAGCGTTATGAAAGATGGGACACGAAAGGCAGGGCGTGGTGGCCCAGGGGGTTTCCATCGCTCAAGGGGTGCAGGCTAAAGGTCTGCCCTCTGGCCGCTCTGCCCGGAGGGCCCCGTTATCGCCCGGATTAACTGTCCTAATCGGGGCCCTAGAGCCGGGGAAAGGAAAGCCGTCAATACCTACAGCTCATGGGGCCGTGTGGAGGGGGGAGGGGAGCGCTGACCTCAGGGAACAAACACATTAAGGATGAGGGAGAAAGGATGTAGCTGCTGGAGACTACACTCCTGCCTGCGGAAACAGCAGGCATTCACCGCAGAAGCCATCAAGAGAGAGAAGCAGGAATATAAGAGGAAACAACGGGGCAGACAGGGCAGCTAAACAAGCAGCAGAGGGTGGGGACAGAGTTCTGATGCCACTCCTGCCGGGTCCCCCAGACGCTAACTCCCATCCACCCCCCAAAAGAAAGGGAAAAGGCTTTGAGATGGGGCTATTTTAAAAGCCCAGGAAACCCGGGGTGACGGTTCCTCCCGCCGGCCTCTGCACTGCAGGCCACCAGGGAAGCTGGCCCGAGCACACATTATGGGCAGGAGGTCTGTATCAATGGCTCATCAAGTCCATGACTACCCCCAATCTCCACCATCTCCTTAAACGGGGATGAAGCGTGCCCCATCTGCCTCCGGAATAAGCCCAACACTTACACCCGCCACTGGGGTCAAGGCAGTGACCGCCACCCAATATGAAGGCACACGTCCAGGTCAGGACTGGCCAGCTGATTTTATAGTAACGCCCCAGGCACAAGGAAATTCCAGATTCCTGCCGGCTGTGACTACCACCTTCCCCGGCCGGATCGAGGTGTTTCCCACCTGAACCAAGACTGCCTTGGAGGTCTCCTAGGCCCTGCTCAAGGAAATAAGCCCTGGTTTGGGCTCCCCAAGTCCATCCAGAGTGACAGTGGGCCTGCCTTTGTTTCCCAAATTACTAAGGGACTCTCTAGAGCTCTAGGAATTACATGGGGTTTATACTCCACTTGGACACCAGAGACCTCAGGAAAAGTAGAACAAATCAAACCCTCAAAAGAAACGTAGAGAAACTAGGCTCAGACACTTATCAACCCTGGATGCCCCTTCTCCCCACAGCACCTTTCAGAACGCAAATAGCGGGCTTCCCTGGTGGCGCAGTGCTTAAGAACCCACCTGCCAATGCAGGGGACACGGGTTTGAGCCCTGGTCTGGGAAGATCCCACATGCCGCGGAGCAACTAAGCCCGTGCGCCACAACTACTGAGCCTGCGCTCTAGAGCTCAAGAGCCACAACTACTGAGCCCACGTGCCGCAACTACTGAAGCCCGCACACCTAGAGCCTGTGCTCTGCAACGAGAAGCCACTGCAGTGAGAAGCCCACGCACCGCAACGAAGAGCAGCCCCCGCTCGCCAGAACTAGAGGAAGCCTGCGCGCAGCAACGAAGACCCAACTCAGCCCAAAATATATAAATTTATAAAATTATTAAAAAAAAAAAAAAAAAGAATGCAAATAGCCCCCAAAGGAAAGCTCAGGTTGAGTCCGTATGAGCTCATGTACTGGAGGCCCATTCCTGAAGGACCTGGCTCCAAGACCAACCCGAGGGATACGGAGCGACGGAAATATGCCTTACAGAAAGGGGGAATAAGCAAAGCTTTACACGCCTACAGAGATCCGGAACTGCCTTCCCTTTCTGACATCACTTTCCACCCTTTCTCCTCTGGGGACTGGGTTTACTTGAGAACCCAGAAGGCTGGAAAACCACAAGACCAGTTAGACCCCAGTGGACAGGACCTTAGCTAGTGATCTTGACCGCTCAGACTGCCTGACCATCACACGGCACAGCCCCGTGGACCCACCATGCCAGAGTGAAGGCAGCACCCATACCTGAGGAAGAAGCCACCCACTCCATACGCCTGTGAACCTGTTATAGCCCTTAAGTTACTTTTCAAAAGGAAGAACTTACTGATAGGTGAGTAATGTGGTGGACAGGCTTAGCAGTTGGCTAAGCCTGTCCCTTGTAACTGTCCACGTGAAATGAGAGCTTAACGCAATAGTACATTTCTCGGGGATTACAGCCTGTGGACAGACTCTATCCCCGTGCTGGTCTGTCACCCCCACCCACAAAGTGATGCCTGTGGATTAAAGGTGTTACATTTTACCCCTAAGAATGACAGCATCACTCTCACCTTGGCTAACGGACCTACTAAACCTACCCCTCTTGAACGCAGCTTTCCTGCTTGGAGCTCATCCCTGAAATTAACATCTCCAGCAGACACAAAGCACTCACTCTAAAGTGCGGCCTTGCGGTCACTGCCCATGTCAGCAGCCCCTACCCAAGGGAGAAACTTGCAGTAATGCCCTGGGGCTGCTCCGGACTCTGAGCCCTGCTTCTTCCACTGCCCCACAATTTCAGTGCCCCGGGATTGACTCCTATGGAAATCTCACCCACTGGTGCCCTCTGCACCCACTCAACGAATACACACAGGGACCAGACAGGAGATGCACTTATGGGGGAGGGAAGACGCCAGTTGTCTGGGGTCTAGTGTGGGGCCCTGCTGAGGCCTGGGGAAAAGCCACTAGTCAAGAACCCCCCAGTGACCCCTGCTACGCAGGTGGGCCTCTCCCCTCACACTGCAAGGAAACCTCCTCTTGGGCTAGCCACTTAGGGAGGTGGTTCAATTCCTCAGAAGTGCGCTAGGCATGCACTCCCCCTGGGTACCTGGTTTCTTTGTGGCCCGAGAATAAACCAATTGCCCCATCAGAACAATCCCACCTCCTTCCCTTCTCTGGGGTGGGCTCTAGACTCTCCTTGCTTAAATAATGCCTAATTTATGAAACAACGCACACTAGGCCGGCCAACTTCTAGGAACCTAAGTATAACCATTCATAACATCGGTATCACCTAGCCCTGAGATCAAAGGACAATGGGACTCATTCTGGCAGGAGCAGGGATAGCTCTCTGATTGGTGGCCCCCTGGGGAGGTCTCACATACCATGAAATCACTCTACAAGATCCCACACGAGGGTAACTGAATAGCTCAACAGTTTCTTTGATAGCAGTTTTTATTAATTCCCAGTAATTTAAATCACGATTCATACTGTAAATGTATACATATAGAAAGGATATGACATTTAAAAGTTGGATTAAAGAGGGCTTCCCTGGTGGCGCGGCGGTTAATATTCCGCCTACCAATGCAGAGGACACAGGTTAGAGTCCTGGTCCGGGAAGATCCCACATGCCGCGGAGCAACTAAGCCCGTGCGCCACAACTACTGAGCCTGCGCTCTGGAGCCCGCGAGCCACAACTACTGAGCCCGTGCACCTAGAGCCCGTGCTCCACAACAAGAGAAGCCACCAAGATGAGAAGCCCGTGCACTGCAACAAAGACCCAACTCGGCCAAAAATAAATTAATTAATTAAAAAAAAAAAAATCTCACACCGGCCCTTGAGAATTCGTCTAAAAACACGGAGGTTGCCTTATAAGGACCCCGTACTCCTCTAGACTCACTAGCAAACGTTGTTCTCGACAACAGGCTAGCCCTTGACTATCTCCTGGCTGAGCAAAGGGGAGTCTGCGCAGTTTTGAATGAAACCAGCTGTATGTACGTCGATAACTCTGGTCAGACTGAGGTCAACACAAAAGCGATCTATGAACAAGCTCAGTGGTTACACAGATGTAACACACAAGGTCAAGAACCAAGCTCCATCTGGGATATGGTCACGCAGAGCCCCCGCAGCTGAACTGGTTTCTTCCACTGCTTGGCCCACTAACGGCCACCATCCTCCGGCTCACCTTCGGGCCTTGTCTCCTTGACTGCCTTGTCAACTTCGTTAGTAAATGGCTTGAAACCATCAAACTTCAGATGATACTAACACAAGGATACAAGCAACTGGGACTGCATCCTGGTGACGATCAAACTTATTTTAGGTTAGTCAGGGAACACTTCTGTTCTTCTAATCCAGAAAGAAACTACACCCACGTTCAGCAAAAAGCAGCTTCAGAAATCAAACCTTCGCCTTTCAGCGCCCCCTCAAGAATGAGGAGCAGTAACAAGGGAAGGGGGAATTTTGTTGCCAGACCTAAGCCAGGGCTTTGCTCGAAACCTGCCACCCTCCCCGCCACACCTTCAGCATGAGTGAACATAAACCTGTAAGTTAAAGGGTCCAGAGATAAGAGACGAAGGTACACGCACAAAGAAAAAACCAAGTGGAACCAGCTGGGACCAAGATGGCGGCAAATCCAACAGACCCTGAACCTCATTTTGTGTTGATTTTACTATATTAACACATTAAATAACACACCTACCAGAGGCCAGTACATTCATTAAAGACCAAAACAGGATAAAAACGGTGTCCCCCCACCAACTCCCTCAAAAAAGCCTTGCCCCTTCCCCAGTAGACTAATGCGTGTACCTCCCAATCATTAACCTCACTCCTCCCTTTAAAATTAAATCCCCCTCGCCAGGTGGGTGAGAAGTTAGCTATGAACTTAGCTCCCGCTGTTCCATTTATTCGGCCACTGAATAATACTCGTGCTATGTCAACTCTGCTGCGGCCCCAGCAGGGTCCACAGGACTTAATTCAGTAACGGGCGCACAAGGGGAGGTGGCAGCGGGTCCAGGGCTCTCCCAAGACCCAAGCTACACCCACTAACACGTGTGCATGTAGGCGGAGGGGCCGGGAAGAGTCCCAATTGTCCCAGCACCAATCTTGTTCTCATAAATTTCTGGCAGGCAGTACGCACAGGCTGGCCCCCGCCTCACAAACAGCATTTATGGAAATGAGTCCGGGACTGGGGCAAGGCTGGGGGGGTGGCCTGCCGGCGCGTCGCGGTCACATGTTGGCTCGTTCCCGCTGCAGCCGCGAGTTATAGGCACGGGACACGGTGTTCCAGGCGTCCATGTAGCGGTCCATGCACATGGCGATGCACTTCTGGGGACGGGGAGGGCGCACGGCTCAGGTCTGGACCGCGGCCAGCGCCCCCACCCCCCAGCAGCGGACTGCGCACGCGCCGCGGCCCCACCGCGTCGCCCAGTTGGTCCGCGTGCATGCGCAGAGGCCTCCCCGCCGGGTCCGGGCCCGCGACCCCGCCGGCCCCCCGCGTTTACCTGCTCCGAATTGTCCAGGGAGCCCCCCGGCTTCCCGATGCACTTCCGGAAGCACTTGTCCGTCATCCTCTGTGGGGACACGCGAGCCCTCAGTTGCGACGCCGGCCCCCAGCGGACCCCGCCACCCTCGGCCCCCCGCCCCCGCCCCGGACCTGCAGCAGCTCTTGCGCGTTGGCCACGGCGATCTGCACTTTCACCTGCTCCATGATAAGCCCGGGGTCCAGCTTCCCGCCGCCGGAGCTCCCGAAATCCGAGCCGAAGCCACCCTCCATGGCTCCGCAAAGTCAACCGGGCAGCGGCCGCGTGTAACCACCCGCACCCACGCCGGAAGTCGGACACCGCAGGTCCCCACGGGAAATGGCGTCCGAGCGCGCTGGGGGGCGGGACTACAGCTCCAATAAGGCCGCGCGGGGCCTCCCGCGCATGCGCAGACAAGGGCGGACCAGAGTCGGCTTCCCGTGTAGGACTCCGGGGAGAAGGGAGGGACACGGGGCCAGAGGCCCGCCCCTCCGCGCTCAGGCTCCGCCCCGCCAAGGGTCCCTCCGCACTTGCGCCTTAGGCTGTGGGGCGGGGTGTTAAACCAGGGCGTCACGTGACCAAAAGCACTGCGGAGGGGCAGTAGATCAGGTGGGAAAAGAATGCAGCAAACTAGGGGGCCGCGGGGTCAGAAGGTAGAATCCTAAGACGCCCGCTTCACTAGGGGCTGGGGCTCCTGCTTCAGCAGCCTGGCGTGGGAGTAGACTCAGAGGGAGAATTTAAAACCAAAATGTTTATTGGAGTGTTGTATAAAAAAGTTTCCAGTCATAAAACGTGTATTACAAATCGTCGGAGAAAACAAAAGACCACACGTTTGGCATGCATCGTAAAAATCACCAACAGATCTCTGAAACGTGTCCAAACAGCCGAGTTCTTGAAACGAGCCCACTAGCGTGTAGAGCTGATGATCCCTCTCGGGCTCAGAATTAAGACCTTTCCAGTAGCTTTAATGTCCTTGAGGAATGTCAGTCCCAGCTCGGATATGCTGATATAAATAGAACTGCTGGGTAGGCGGTGTGGGTAAAAACGAGCCCAAGTCTGAGCTTGGCTGCTGTGGAAACAGCTGAGCGCCCAGACCGCGGGCGGGGAGCGGGGGGAGGCACTGGTGTCTCCCAGGGGTTGGTTCCTGCCGGCCACAACCCCGCAGGCCGTCCCTCCCCAGGGCTGGGAAGAGTGGGTTTTCTCCGGAAGGGTGCTCATCATCACATGACAGGGGCTTAGAAAAAAGAATCGCTTCTGCATCATTTTAAGTGGCTTAATGTTAAGTATGTTTAAGGACAAATGCAAATTCGATTTCCCAGGCCCTGGCTGACATTGTAACATTGGACTATGCTCCGTGTTTTCAAATACTTGATTACCAATGCCGGTCACCAGCCTCCAGCCACAAGTGGCCACCAGTCCAGTGCACCCTCCCCCCACCAGCCAAGGGCATCCCAGCGCCTGTCTGGGCCACTTCCAGGCTCCACCCAAGATCTCAAGCAGGCAAGAAAATTCATCTGCTGGGAACAACCACTACCAGTGAGCCTGGGGGGATCTGCAGGCACTAGGGCAGCCCTTGGGCTGTTTTTCAGGACCTCTGGGCCTGCAAGGAGGGTGGGGCCCTCTCCCTTCCTTCCTGTCCTCGAGCCCAGCCTGCAAAACTGCTTCAGCAATTCAGACCCCAAATTCCAGGACAGACCTTTGATCCCCCGAGACTCCCAAAAATACCTTGAAGGATGTAGCCAGTGCAGTTCCCACTTGCTTGAGTGCCACCTAGCCCCACCCTCCCAGCATCTCATCAGGCTCCCCAGACCCTCACGGCTCCCTCAGCTCCTGCTACGTCTGGGAGAAGGAAGACAGCCTGCAATCTCACAGGGGAAATACAGCCCGCGGTCCAGGGATTCAGGTGGCCATGGAAAAAGATGCTCGGACTTAAAGCCAGAGTCTGTAGGGGATTCTAGACTCAGCAGCAGCTTAGTTTTGTCGGCCACTGGCACCTTCCCGGCCTGGGGCTCAGGCCTCGGGCCCTCGTCGCGCCATGATCGATTCCCAGGGAAAGGAGGCAGGCAGGCTGCTCCGGGCCTGGGGTGGGGGCAGGCTACCTCCATGGCTCAGTATTGCGTCTTTTAAGACTTGAGCTGCACTTTCTGAAAGAAGTTTGCCGTCTGGGGCCTCAGAGCCCACATTGACAGGCCCCCCCCCAATGCCACCCCCTCGGGGGACTGTTGTGGTGACCCTGGCATACATGAGCCCCTGAGGTGGGATCCCGGCAATGCGTGTACTGACCGATGTAAAAAAATAAATATCCGTTAAAAAAATAATTTCTGTGTATCTACGTGGCAGAGGCGTCGAAGGTAAGCTGATGCAGGGAGGGGGCCTCCAGGCAGCCAGAAGCTGGACCGTGACATGGAGCCATCCCGTAGGGGTCAACTGGCCCTGACAGGTCTGTCTCAGAAACACCATTTCAGCAAGAAGTTACAGAGGAAGCCGGGATATTAGTATATGCCCAAGAATACACGTGAGTCAGCGTGCCCTGTGCACAAGGCACAGAGTCGGAGAACAGGGAGTCCAACGTCTCGCCCTGAAGTCACCCTCCTCCGACGGGAGGGTGGGAAGCGGTGGTTACAGGTGGACATCGTGCTGGAGCCCAAGGCATTTGTTTCCGAGTTTGTCACACCTGTCCCCTCAAGGCTTACCTGAGGACAAGTCTTAGAACGGATCCCCGTAAGGTGAGGAACTCAACTGCAGAAAGCCCCAGAAACGTGAGGTTCCAGCAGCCAGAGAGGGAGCCAGGAGGCTGACCCCACGCACCCCAATTCCTGAGAGCAGAGCAGAAATTGTGACAAACCCTGAAGCCCAGGCCTGACGGTAAAAGCCTGCAATTTCCTTGTTCCGGTGCTCGGTTGGCTGAGCCACCAAAATTCCAGAGAGTGCCCCTTCCCCCCACCAGGTCAGAACCTGGATTCTGAATCTGGTTTTTTTGAAAGCTTAATAAAACAGACAACTATTGGATTCGTACGCGCAGTTCTGCTCTGTCCACCTCAGGCCTCCTCTCCCACCCTGACCCCAGGCTGCAGCTGAGACCGAAGCGGTGGACGGGCCCCCTGGACTCCCAGCCCAAAGCCCGCTAGCCACTCGGCTCCTGGGCCCCAAACTCAACCGAAAGGTGAGAACGGGGCACTTAACACTCTGGACAGTGGTGATGAAGGGCCCAGGGAAACCCAGCGACAGGAAAGCTCAGCAGAGACCCACCCCCACGCTCTGGCAGTTTGCTTAAAAACTCTCTAGAAATGTACCAAGGACTAAAGAAGCCAATGATATAAAAATAGTTTTCAGTGGCCCTGGATAAAGAAAGATGTGTGACGAGGCATATTCGGTTCACATGACGCGGCAGCCTCGAGAGGTGGTCCTTGGGTCCCCCTGCAAGGAAGGACAGCACCAGTGAGGAGGCCAGGAAGGTGGCTGGTGGCCCCAGCCCCCTCCAGGAGGGGCTGGACCGGGGCAGGGCCTGAGCCACCATGAGAAGCTCAGCTCCCGGCAAGATGACCCCAGCCTCAATGGTCCCTGTTCCAGAACCTTCCATGTCTCCCTCATCTCTGTTCTGAGCTACAGAACACGGTACAATTGTTTCAGACCCCGGAACGTCTTGCACTTATATCTCATCCAGTGTGGTTCCTTGGCTCCCCACCTTCCCCCCAAAGCCATTATTAAGCCACCGGCACCCCACTCTGGAGGAAACGTGGTAACAGGGGGTTTGCTGAGAACCCTCGGGGCTCCACCAGAGTCACTTTGAGATGCAACAGTCTTTGAACACCCCACTCCCAGGGTGCCTGGGCCAGTACCCTGAGGTCCACACAACAAGCAAGCCCGGGAGGCGAGGGCAGCTGGCTCCATGGCCTGCCTCTGGCTGTGATCTCTGCGGCCTGGCCGAGCCAGGGCGAGACCTGGGAGGTGCCCAGAGCAGCCGCGTAAACAGGGCCCACAGGCGTGTGCACGTGCGAGTGTGCGCGTGCCGCCTGGGAGCCTCTACCTGCTGATGGAAAAGATCCTCCTCTCCAAACTCGGCCGCCTCGTCCTCACCCTCCTCCCCGTCCTCGGCCTCCCGCACCACCGAGGACTGCTTCACGGTTCTCATGGCCACTTCCTGTGCAAGACGACACAGCAGCTGCAGACGGCCACCCCAGGTGCTGGGGGCCCAGCCCACAGGCGCGGTGGTCAGGACGCTCGGATGCCCAGGACCAGGCCCAGGCTGCACTCACGTGCCCTGCTGGCCAAGTCCCCACCCCAGGAGGGACGCCAGGACCAAGGCAGAGGGAGGTGCTCACCTCCCCGTCAGCATTGACCAGGATGGTCCGGAAGCTCTCGCCCGTGCCCCAGCTGTTCTGGCTCTTCCACACGAGCGTTGATGGGGGGCTGTGAGCCACCCCTGCACCGGCTGCCCATACCTGGGGACACAGGAGGGCCTCCCGGTTAATGTCAGCTCCGGTCCCAGTGGCATGTACCACCAGCTGGCCCTCTATCACAGGCTCCCTCGATGCCCTGGGTGTTTAATCCTCCTGGCCCTACTGGGTCCTGGCTAGAGATGACAGTCACCAGAGTATGGAAGAAGAGACTGAGGTTCACAGTGACCAAGGCTCTCATCTTGGCAAACGGGCCAGGCTGGAATCGGAAGCCCTAGCGTCCATGCCTATTGGCTGTTATGGGTCTCGCCAGTGCCTCGACAGACAGCCCAGACAGCCTGGACTCAGCCCCACCTCCACCATGGACCCCCCAGCACATCACTTAGGCCCTCCCAAGGGCTCCAGGGAAGTCCGGATGAAGAAACACTGGCACACAGGTGATCTGTGACAGCAGGCAGCTGTTCTCAGCGCCGGGGCTCCATCCCTGTAATGCTCTCCCCCCGCACCCCGGTCCCCCCACCCCATCCCAGTCGCACCTCACACCCTGCCCGCTCCCTCTCCGCAGCCACCTACCGTGACTGTCTGGCCGGCCCGCAGCACATACTTGGGCGTGAACTTGTAGGCGATCTCCGCCCCTTCTAGGATCTGCCTCTTGATCCTCCAGTTGCCCAGAGACTGATCCTGGCAAAGGGGACGGGCGTTGGCCCATGGCTCCGAGAAGACCCAGTGGGCTCCCCACGGGTTGGGTGGGGGCCTCACCTTGTCCGAGCTGTTCTTCAGCTGCACGAACTTGCCCTCCAGGTCGATCTCCTCGATGCTGATGCTGCCCGAGGCCGAGGCCTGCTGGGCCAGGCGGA